AGCCTATGGCAAGACAGCACGTGGCTATTACACAATATTATGTCATAAATGAGACCGCGCGAATTGGGGAATTCGGAACTTCATATTAAGATTTCTATTCAAAACTTGTGTACAGAAACGCAAATCTTTGTTTCCTGAAATAAAAGATTAAATAAATAAATAAATAAATAAATAAATAAATAAGAAATATATGAATAAATGAGTAATGAATGTATGAATAAATGAATGAATGATTGGTTGATCAAATAAATAAATAAATAAATAAATAAATAAATAGATAAATAAATAATAAATAAGAAATATATGAATAAATGAGTAATGAATAAATGAATGTATGAATAAATAAATGAATGAATGATTGGTTGATTAATTGATTGAATGAATGAATGAATGAATGAATGAATGAATGAATGAATGAATGAATGAAATATCATTGTTGTTTTTTACATATGCAAGTACATGTACAAGTAAAATGGTTTCCTGCGGTGAACATTTTAATGATATATATAAAGATATTTCTTTTAACTATTTTCAACATTATTTGGGGGGATAAATAAACGTTTGTACTAGTATCAGGGATATAAAGTTGAATAAACGATCACTATGGAAGAAGGTCTTTCGAAACTGGTGACCGTTGAAGACCGGAGAAGGTCGAGCATTAAACAATTATTTCTTTTTAAGAAAATGATTAAATAGGCCTTCATTTTATGAATAATTCCGAGCAAAAAATAAATAAAGTAAACACACAAGTTTACGCAGAAAATATCTCTATTTATTATGACTGATGCCACTACGAATATTTTAATTTTGTAGATTTTCAGTATTTGTAAAATTTGAGATAGATATTAAAGAAACATTGATAATTTTCAAAAATATCATTCAAGTTTTTTCCAACTTTAACGGTAAAATAATTATAGAAAATTAGAAATAAACACCGATAAACACTTTCAGAACTAGCAGACGACTGGCTATTCATATCAGTAGAATTTCGAGTAAAGATAACGGATTGCGTATCTCACTGTATAAATCGTATGTAAAATGGTCTGACATATGGTAGGTTTAACAGTTAATTAAAATACTTTGAAGTCCAAAGATGTGTTGAATTTTATACAGTGACGAAGCTAAGATCCAAAGCTTTCTATTGGTGTAATACATATTAAAATCGGACATTTTATCTTAACAAACTAGCGGTTTAAAAACAGCTTATTTTGTATTGTTTTAGCATAAGCGATATCGATTTTACTCGAAGATAAGGGAAGCAACTCGCATTTTTTCACTCGATATACCTCGGTTATTTACGTAGATCATATTGAAAGTGTTTACAGGTAAATCCGTAACGTACCGGCAAACGGTATTTAGCTAGGTTTTCGAAAAGGTCAATTAACCAATCATGTACGGTTTACAGATCACATGCTCCTCCAAGTACCGAAAACAGGTCACGTGCTCCTCCATGCCTCAAAAGTTAAACGCGTACCAATACCCTGCGGTCTCCAGACCGCAGGGAATTATGTTATGTATAGCCTATTTTTTATAGGACATATATCAACGTAAAATTTAATTGCTGTGTGGACTATCCCGATTTAATCTTCGTGATTTCACAATTATTTTAACTTTCACGATTTCAACTTCACAGATTCACGATTTTATTATAATTAATACATGTTTTGAACATCACAATTTCAACTTTATCATTTTCTCATGTTTGGCTTATCATTATAAAATATTATAATGATAATGAAAAGGAAATTACAAAAAAACATGATTCACCATAGATGCAAAATGCAAAACAGTACTATCTAATTGTCAATCGCAATTAGCTATGCTAAAAAGCAAACCAAGTGGTATTGAGCTAGAATACCGCGTCTGCATGTTACAGGTGGATGTCTTACACGTTCTGTGCACTGACGATATTATTTGTACGCAATTGACGCGTTAATAACTCCAGGAAATTTTGCATTGTGTTAATTGTCAAATGTCGCAAATATATGATCAGACTATTTCTTTACTCTTACAGGAAATAGGCTATTCAGAAGTAAATTTTCATTCGCTATTTCTATATACAGAATCCGTATTTGCACGAATACGGAATTTCGTATTTTAGTAATATACGGACTTGTTATAAAAATTCCGTACATTAGTAAAATACGGACTTCGTACATCAAAGTTCCGTATATTACGAGTGTACGGAGTTCGTATACAAGTCATATACGGACTGATATAATATACGGTCCCGAACATCTCCGTATTTCAAGCTTCCCGTATTCTTACACGTATATTAATGATATACGGAATTCCGTACACTTCCGTATATCAATGTCTTTTTCGCAGTGATAAGCCATTACGAGCGTGTCAGCACTGTCTATATATACAAAATGTAAATAAGATACATAGTGTCAGACTCATAGCATATTCTCTGTATCGCATTTACTTAAGGGAAGCGTACTCGTCCTGTCACAGTAAAGAACGAGCACTACTATGAAAGAAATGGAATGTTTGTGTTGTAACGTTTTTAACAGACAATCGTTTATGCTGTCCATCCCTTCAAAGCCATTTTATGAGTGCGTAAAACTTCACTTGTGCCCACCTGTTAAAATACGAATCATTTACAATAGATCATTTATAACTTAAGCAATCCATCTGAAATCTAATCGGCCTTAGATCAATATGTAACAACATATAGGTTAGAATTAAGACAATACAGTTCAGTGTTTGGCAAATATCGGGGATGATCAAACAAAAAAAGTTTTTCCATTGCTAATATGACCTGTCTTTCAAAAAGAAGAAAAAAATGTTTACTTTCTTTTTTTCAATCCGTAAATATGCTTGCTCCAATTTAAGGCAAAATAGCTCTTTTTATTGCTAAACGTTGTTTATATGACCTATTGTATATGAAGAATAATAAATAAATAACTAAATAAATAAAATGTTTTTATCGAGCGTAAAGGCTGGCTCATTTCAAAATGAAAGGAACATACAGGATATTGAATCAAGCTTGAATTATGGTTATCTTACTATTTAACACCTTTCATATTATCATTTTAATCAAAGGACTCATTTATTCTTTAAGGTAGTCTTACTATAATACGTTCCCAGCAAAGAATTCTAACACCGGGCAGTAAGGTAGCAAGTCGGTTATTTCTGAGACGTTATTCTTTTTCAAATTCTTGGGTATTAGATAATTAACAATTACTCATCTTTTATCGCTATGTACTATAAACGGTTAAAAATTATTGAATACCAAAAACGATATTGTGCGATGTTCGACTTTTTTGGCGGTTAAGCATTACCTTAAATTCCGTCTGGTTTTTAAATATCGCTTCACAGATAAAGTAAGGTTTCCGTCATTACGTATAAGTTTTTGTTCAAAACTTAAAGAGCAAATCGTTTTGAAAAAGCGTGAAAAATGAGATTTTATGGTTATATGACTGGTATGAAAATATATAGAATTATGAAACGTTTTTTTTTTAGATCCGCCTACAATCAACACATCAAAAAACCTGGCATTGATAGAAGGAGATCATCTCAACTTTTCATGTTCAGTTACTCAAGGAAACCCAAAGGAAACCGTCTATTTATGGACATCTGAGAGGCACATGACCTGGTCAAGTCAATATTTAACAATAAGTAACATTTCAAGGGATGACGACATGAATTACAACTGCAGTGTTTACAACATTATGACACCAACTGGAAAATCACCTGTGAAAGGAACAGATAGTAAAATGTTTCATCTATCTGTTGAATGTATGTATTTAATGGATGGTTGTTTACTTTGATTTGCTAGAATTGTTGTTCTTAAAGTTAATCTGAAACAAATCAATAAAAAAACATAAACAGGAAACAAAATATTAAACTTGACATTTCTTTCGTGATTATTCGAAATTAATTGATACTTAATTTTCTGGTAAAATTTTAAGAACTGTTTTTATTTCAGATAAAGCAACAATAAAGGATTTTTTTGTGAATGGATACAAATCTAGGCGAAATGTAACAATAAATGAAAATGACAACGCTACCTTTATTTGTGACGTTGACAGTAAACCAGTCTCAAATACAAGTTTACAATTAAGAACAGCTAAAAATTTTGTTTGGAATGATTCAAACTCATTGAATCATACACTTGGTCCTGCAAATTGTACAGATGCTGGATCCTACTTTTGTATCGGAAAAAACAAACACAACATCGGAGCTGGTTCAACAGAACAACTGAATTTGTTCGTAAAATGTATGTATATAACACTCCGTTTTCTGACGTAGGCATTTTAATAGTTTACTGAATTAAAAAAAAACAACACATTTGTGGTCCCTATATTTCATTACTCGTACAAACAGTTTTGTTAGTAAAGCTATGCTTTTGTTTATCGTACGTTTATTTCAACTTTTAAACTATTTTTGAATCAACTATAAATCGAAAATTATATACCTTTGTCTGTTTGGGTGAATTACTCCACATTTAACACTAGTCTTGTTAAGTCATACTTTGGCAGCAAGTCAGACAACTCGGCTTTCTTGGATAACTAACCAGTAATATTACGAATATCGCTGCAATTACCAGACAGAATATCCCACATCTCTTGAGTCAGAGACAACTCATATAAGACTAAATTTCGGAGATTAAATAACACTGAGAAATTTTGTCTCGCTAGAGAATTGGACCACGAACATCCGGATTATAATATACCATTCTTTCCTTAATGAGATAAAGGGACGGATAATGTTAATTTCATTACGACAGATGTTATATAATTTTATGTCTGATTACTTGCTCTTAATGGCAACACATTATGTTTCCTTGTGGAATTATTTAAATATAATTACAGATGCCATTTTACAAGCAAAGTAATCGTTTACCGCCTTGATTCCAGTATTACGTGCAACTTAATTGAACCTAAGTATGTATGATTGAATATAACAACTACATGTGCACTTGTTTGATGTTGTTTAGAATAGTAATCAAAATTATTATTTCGTCTGATTTTGTATCCATTTTAGGTTTTCCTCGACACAACCCGATGTTTCAATATAAGATGAACGTTACCTCTGCATTGAACGTTACTGCTATTCTACAATTCCATTTTATAGCCTACCCTTCACCAGATACTGTGCTATGGCAGAAATATATCATTTCAAATTGGACAAATTTGTCATATAAAAATAATATTACTACATCTAGAATGGAACATAACATCAGTTTGACAGTACACAACGTATCGGAAGAAGATTTTGGACGATATAGACTTATCATTGCTAATGATGTTGGAAATTACACACGCGAATTTTATATCAATGCTGAAGGTATTGTTTATTACATTTAATTAATGAACAAAATCTTTTTCAAAGAATAATTGAAAATATGTCTGGAACTCTCGGTCCCCGTATCTGCCTGGTTACACTTTTTAAATGGATATATGTTTGGATGTACTAAATATTAAATATATAAGGCAACTGTAGTGTATCTGTTAAATCAAGACTATAAGAAATCCGAGTGTCAGTTATTTTTCATAACATATGTGTAATATTTAATAACAGTCATGTTGACGATTTGATAAAATTAATATTATTTTGGAATCTTTGCCATTCAATGTCTTAACTGATACGTGTACAAAATGCTGAAAACATCCATAGTTTCTTGTTTACTTTGAAACAAACACTGACAACAACTTTTCAACACTATTTACGTTATATATTTTAAATAGACATACCAAAACCGCCGACCGGCTTTCATGTTATCAATAGGTTAACAACGGCTACGACCGCAACCGTGCAATGGTTTCCGTCCTTTGATGGTGGAAAACCTCAACGTTTTGTATTGAACTACTCAAAAACACATCACGATAGTTGGTTTAGCGAGGTAATAAACGACACAGAAGAGCCGATAATGAATTATACGATTAATCGATTGTCGAGTAATACTGCCTACTATATCACCCTACATTCCGAAAACGATATAGGATCATCCGAGTTATCAGAACGTATTGAAGTACACACCAAAGGTACGACTTACTTTATTGTATAACTATTCACAAGACATGATATTTGTGAAAAATTCAAATTTAATTTCTAATAAAACACTTACAATAATGTTGTTAAGAGATGATAATTGCAAACATAATGTACCGAGCTGTTGATTATTTATCTATTGCTACAAAATAAAATCACAATATTCTTAAATGCAAATATATAATTTTTTCTTGGGATACTTATCCGAATTGATTAGAAATATTCAAATATAAATTTTTCTTGTGGTTTCTTAACCTTTTGATTAGATATCAACTTAATAAAAACTCTAGAAATAATAAAATGCAAAAACTAATAATTAAATTATCCGAAACAACTATTATCAAGAAACAACTTAACACTATACTTTAAACAAAAATTTATATTCCTAAATCTAACACAAATTTATTTCTCACTTAAATATTTCAATACAAAAATCCCTTATCTCAAATTAACGAAACGTTCAAAAATCTATCCTTAAAAATACTATTTCCGAAATAAACAGTCTCACATCAAACATTTGTCCAAGAGGTTTTACTTAAGCAATAAAGTATTTTTAACACCAGATATCAAAGATGTCTGGGTACTAGTAAATACCATATCACCTATATCAAACTCTAACAAGGACAATAGGAAGACTACCTATTTAACTCATAAAATATTTTTGAAGAAGCAAAGATATTTTAGCACCAGATATCTAAGATCATTTTGATTGCAATTGCTAAAATAATAAAACGTTCTTTGAAACGGACTTTATCTAAACCTTATAAGCGTCTGTCACTTGAAGTAAATTTCTATTAGATATGATTGTGAGTAAAGAAACTATTCAAAATATAAACACTTTTGGATGATTCTCCTAACTTATATAAATTTGACGAGTTAAAAACAACTTAAATTCCTACTCTTCCTATCTAATTAGATTTACGAATGAATTGTATTTTTTTTGGATGCAAACGGCGAACTTATAAAAAGGGGAGGCAATCAAATCAACTATAAAGTACATTTACGTCACATTAATTATCAGTGATATAAGCCTCAAATAGAATAATTGTAATAAATGTACACATTCACTACATTTTGTAGTGATACATGTTGTCGCAAAGAAAGAAATTACTGGAATCGTGATAGGGAGTGTGTGCGGCGTAATTGGTGCAACGGTTGTTGTCACGGTTGGGATATGTATTTTTAAAAAGAGGTAACTTAAAAATTGTAGCTGCTCAATAAAATATCTTAACTTAAAATGTCATTAAATTGCATATGTCATACAATAACAAGATTGTTTATTTTTGTTTTAACTAATTTTGAACCATATTAAGATGCAAAATGGTTAAGGTTTCCTGGTTTCTACAACGTAGTTAGACAAAGATAACCTTTGATCAAATGATTTACTTAAAAACGTTTATAACTGCCATTTCATTCATATCTGCAGGCGGAATGAGAAAGCACCAGACAAAATGGTTTACCAGAATGTTCCAAATATTGGTAATAACTTATCTAAGCTGACTTCATAACTTCTATATTATTTACATTAGAACCAATCAATGAATATAACTTATACTTTTTATCTAAAACGGTTTTAATGTTTTGAAGCGGATTATAATTTCATTATTGTTTTGATATCAGCAACAACAAAAGCAAGTATGGTTTGATCATAATTCAAAAATTAAATACTCATAAACAATCATTATTAACATTATTTTTACAATAACAAATTGTTAGAGAAACACGTCACAGTCTCACTTAAAATTAAACGATCATAATGGGTGTCTTTTTATGTTTATGACATTTTTAAAAATTTAAGCAATTCAGACTGAAAAAAAAAAATGTTTGCAAATTTCCGATAAAGTGGATTGCAGGTGCCAAAAATTGCGCAAAACCTGCTAAATTAACACTTGAGTAATATGGCAAGGAACGTTTGTTCTGTATTTCTGTCGGTTTCTAGTTATGATGTACGTTAACTATAAGAGTAATGATATATGATATTGTCTGAAAACCAACTCTTTTGCAGGGAAACATAAAGAGTCAAAGCAAACTAAACGGACTTCTTTAATAAGAGAAACACAGTTTTTTGACGGAGGTCTTCAGGAAGTTGACGATGTTCCACATATACAGTACGAACGAACAGAGTATAACAATTCACCCGAAAAAATAAAAGAAATCGATACAATTCGAGTTTCGGAGTTGTTTCAATATGTGTTAGGTCAAACTGAGGATGATTTTGCAATTGAATATCAGGTACTAAGTAAATAACTTAACCTTTGGATAAAGGTCTTAAAAAGAGAAATAATTTGATGATATATTTCCTTTGGGTGTCACTCGATTAAGACACCTGAAAAACATAAATACATACACGTCTGTATATTCATTAATGAATACAAGCGTCTTGATTTATAATTATCTCATTTCGTCTATGTTATTAGTTTTACAAGTTGCTGATGGAATATACGAAATAATATAGCCTGAATCAGATAAATATGACAAGACTAAGGCTATATCAACTTTTATAACGAATCTATAATATCGTAAATATTAATACACGACAATTCAGTAAAAGCCTAGCAATTTGAGGATGTTTTTTAAGAAGCGCTACAAAAAGGCGCACGTTAATAATATGACACGTCAGAAATTCATCGGCTACATAAATGCTGCACAAAAACAGCTAAATTTTAAGTCATTATAGAGATGTAGTTTTTTAGTGCTTCTTTAAAGTTACGAAATATGTCGTTAAGAACAAAAATGTTATGTACACACTGAGTAACCGTCTACGATGAAGAAATATTTCGGTTATTTACGGTATATACGGCATCGTATACAATTTGAAAGATTTTAAGAGCTTATCAAAATTCGATACATTTATTTGCATCATTATATTCCCTCTGATAACCCGTCATTTAACTTAATTTCAAATATGATATCGAATAAATATTTAAATAATGATAAAAAATGATGATGTCGAATAAAACAAATTTCCTTTACGTATGCGTACTTATTTTTAAAGAGTATGATTACCTTTACAAAAAATGTAAAAACAATAGAAGAATATTTCTTTTACTAAAATAAGTTTAGACCACCAGAAAGGGTTTAAATATATTGTTTTGTAAACATATCGTTATAGCGCTTTTATCCATATGTTATGAAAAACATGTTACATGATTTCTCATTTGCAGCAAATACCGACGGAACTACAGAGTTCAATTGCATTTGCCAGAAAGCCTGAAAACATAGCGTTGAATAGATACAATGGGATTTTCCCTTGTAAGTATAACTCTAATTTAAGTTCGGTAAACAATAAAAAAGATTTATACTTACCCGGTCTGATAAAAATATCAAATAATCTTGTGATATTAGTTGCGCTATTCCAATTTGTCATCATGAATAAGTTTTTATATTCATTTTAAATATCCAACATACTTTCGCGTATGGCATGGACATGTTTTTTCCGTGAAACTGCCATGACAACTGCCAAATAACAAATAAATGTTTGATATGAGGTTAGTAACCTGATATCAACATAAACCCCGCGCAATTAAACGGACTTTTGTTCATTATTCTTAGTTCTATCTTCTACAATTTTATCTTATATCCTTGCTAATGACAAATCAAGATGTAATATTTATTATTTGTATTTCATTTTGAAGTATATTATGTATAATAATTTTATTTTCAAGTACGAAAAGTTACGAACAAATTTGAGTACAAAATGAATCAAGTTCCGTCAAAATTTGTTTCGCTTATAACATGATCGTTTCCACGTGATATATACACAACGCACAGGCTATACGGTTTTCTTAAAGAATGTGTAAATGCTTGCTTTGTAACTACTGAACAAATCGTTTCCTCCAGAAAATGAGTAGCTTTTGTTTAGTTGACAATTTGACATTTCTTCGATTCAAACTGAAATATGGTGAATTATTGAATTTGAAGAAAAAAGTGCTGTAATTTTTATACATAAACACATAGCGCTATAATTTTAATTGCTGTTTAAAGGTAAGAATCTTATATAACTAGACTTTGTTGAGAGAAGACATGTGCCACATTAAAACTCTTATGACCACTGACGTATTAACATATATACTGCTCCTAAAAAGATTGCAGTCTTTTCAGGATTCATGGAAACTGCGGACTTTTAAATAGAATGCGTGAAATAACAAAATTGTATAAATTTTCATATGCGAACAGTCAATGTCCCTTCCTTGTTGATCTTTGCTTTCATATTTTACGGGTTTAGATTAAAGATTAAGTCAGTTTGGTAATTTCCGATTTGCGGGTAGATGGTGAATCGCGACAGGCAAATACCAAGATGGTATTTTAAAAAAGATAGAAATTTGATCAATAGCGTAGACCAGCCACAAGGCCTCGTAACCCTATTCAAAACAATACTGTGTTGGCTTGATCGAGATTTCTTGACCTCCATCTGCCATTTTTCGCAAAACTTCTATATTTAACTTGTTCAGGTATATCTGGACGTTTATATGATTCTAGCATTGAGACTGGCAGTATATTTCATTTACTTGTTGGGTGTGCCCAAACATTCGTATCTGTCTATCACAAAATAAGTTTCTAGACTAAACAATCGTATTTCTTTTAAAATAAAACTAACCTCAAACGACAAAATAAAAAGCAAAACTCATCATACTTAGTAGAATCAAATACAGAGCGTTAAAATCTAAGTTTATTAGCAATTGTTATTTTTAAATGTCGCATAAATTTTTATTAAATAACAATTAAATTTTGATTTGCTTCCAAAAGTACTACACAGCATATTTATCTGTTTATCAATTTAATATCTTCTGAATCTTGTTTTTGAATTGCCACAAAAAATATATAAAAACATCGAAAAAAAACAAAAAAAAACGAAAAAACAAACAAACAAAAAACAACAAAAAAACAACAAAATCGTTCATGGTATGACAACAACTTGTTTTGATGTTATTGCCTTTATTACTTTTTTTTCTTTTTCTACATTTATATCTAGACGACCATTCTAGGGTTAAAATACCGGCCATACCGGACTTCTTTATGAATGCATGCTATATTGATGTAAGTAACAGCATTTGTTTCATACCCGACGTTTTTGTAAACCTAGAAATCGTTAAAACCATTATGACAATCAAACCATCACAAATAAAGATAATTTCTTGCTAAAAAATGTTAAAATGCGTATTTGTTATAAAAATGTTTAATATTTAAGAATTTGTTTTTATTGCAAACTATAGTTATACAGTGAGTATTATATTTTTAAAATGGCTTTCAGGGATACAAAAGACGAAATGCATACATAGCCTCTTTAGGTAGGCCTTTTATAATAATTACTTTACTGTAATTTAAGTGAATCAAAAAGATTTTAACTATTTTATTCTTATATATGCCAACTTTATGATATTTATTTCAAATAATTAGTTGGAGAAGGTGGACCAAAAGCTATTTTCTAGTATTTGAATATCCTGTTACTTTACAGAGCGTATTTGGAGATATATCTGTATGTAGGAAGTACAAATAAACAACATGCAACAACGAAAGACGTAATACAACATTTTTTTGAGTTGACAAAATACACGTATAGATATATGAACTTCAAAGTATACAATACTTAAAAATTGCAGCCTGTTTATTTCTTATTATTTTGGGCATATTTAAAGATCCAGTTTTTCCCCAAACAGGTCCTACTGAAAAGACAACTAATAACTTTATAACATTCTGGCAAATGGTTTGGTACGAAAAGTCGGAATTAATTGTTATGTTGACAAATTTACGAGAACCATCGGTAAGATTTAAATTTTATTAGAGTTTTGTAAAACTATTCTAATAAATTTATAATATTATGGTTCAGAACACCATTATTTGCATTTTCTGTAACAAAAGTGGGTATGTTTGGAAGTTTTTATTTGCACTTTGCGACTGTTAATTTTATGCTCATTTGTTACTAAATAAGCTTTTCCAGGCTTTTTATATTATCACCTTTGGATTAAAATTGTCCCTGCAGCAGGTTAAACTTAAAGTCACATAGTCCTTTAAACTTATTCAAATTTTAGGAAGTTCTTCTCTGAAATGGAATGTCTAGAAATTGATATTTGCTATCTTAAGATCATGACCCTATGTCTAGATATGCCTATTCCGGAAGTTACTTGTCTTTAGGAAAAAACTTAAAATTTAATAAAACTTGAAGGCCTAGATTTTAACATTTGGTTTGAAGCATTTTCTAATGAACATTCTTTTTCAAGTAAATTTTCTTTTTTTTTTGAGTTCAAATAATTGATATTTGCTAAAATTAACATTACTTTATTGTACTTGTTCAAAGAAGCACATATAACAAAAATGTACCCTTTCGTGCCTACTTTTAAAATCATCATCAAAAATATAATGAAAAACCAGGTAAGGTATCTAGAACAATTATTAATCTCATTCTCTTTTGCTCTGTTTCAGGGAATGAAATGTGAACAATACTGGCCAGAGTCCGGAACGACTATGACTTACGGAGAAATGTGTGTCTCTAGCGTTAAAACAACAATATTTTCGGAATTCACAGTAAAAAGGTTTTTGCTCTCAAAGGTAATACGAATTGATTTCTTTCAAAATTACCAATATCATTTAAAAAAGCTGCACACAATATTTTTAAAAAAATCTTAATTTGATATGAATAAGTGTCATAGTACTACGGTTGCGATGGGACAAGTTGTTCATATATGTTCACTGAGAGTTCATAACGTATAAATTACATATGTTTCTAATTATCATTGTATTCATCAAGGGAAAAGACCAACGCCCAATAACACATCTTCACTTCACTGCTTGGCCAGACAAAACCGTCCCAGAAGACACTACAACTTTAATTGAATTTCGACACCAAATGAAAACAACAGCTACTTCTACTTCTGGACCAATTATAGTGCACTGCAGGTAAGAGATAATTAAGTATTTTATGTAGGAAAGGGTGAAAATGCAGTGAATTGTATTTAATAAGCTATTATTTTGGTTGAAATAACTTATTAAAAAGTCAACACATGTAAACTAAGTCGTTGGGCGGCAAGTGGATTGAATTAAACGATCTTAATCACCGACCACGGACACATTGTCTCCTCTGCTATTGATGAAATAGCAAACTTAACACTGCAGATAAATTCACAAAAGTACAACAGAATTGGTTATAACGGTTTAACAGGAGAAAGAGTTCATATTTTCTTGTTGATTTAATAATCTTCTTTTGTGTCATTTAGTTACCGGTATGGAAATCAAAATATCTAGGGATTAACATTAAATATCGACTGCTGACAAAAATACTCTAAAATGGTGTATCTCATAAATATCCATAAATTGTGAAAGGACACTTCTAGCCAAAAAAATCGTCGAAATAAAGAAAACCTCGTCCATTTTTTGACTAATTACTTCCACTTGTCAACTGTAATTAGGACATATTTTGAACGTTTCACACGTTATAACTGTATAGTGTTAGATATATTACAACTTTATAAATTTCAGTTGAAAGAACTTGGATTTAGTTTTGCACCCTTCTATCCACAATTTCTTCAGTCCTAATCCAAAAAGTACATTTTGACGAAACCTCGCAGAAATTCTACAGAAATCATTATTAGAAACCCCTTAAATTGGCCTTATTAAATGAGTTTGTGTTTTACCTTTAGAATTTTGACTTCGATGTTCAAAATTGAATAAAAACAAACGTTTTGCGAAACTCTTAAGATAATGGTTTATTATATGACAGTAATTGATTTTACTTTTTAAATCTGTGTTGCTGCCAATCTTAAAGTCGTTTTTTTTAAATCATTCTGAAGTGACATTTCATTATTCAAACGTCTTTTATGTCAATAAGAATACAAAGAAAATAAACCTTTATAGTTTTTGCTCACCATGGTTCCCGTTTGCTTAAAAATTTAATTTGATTAAAGTTGCTTATAAGTTTCTTGATTTAATTTCGGACGAAGTCCGTCTGTTATCAGTTTGACTTCCTGTATAATTAACAGGGAAGGACTGAATATAAAAAGAATTTTCATTGGTCATTTTAGAATTGCAAACTGAAATCGGTGAATCTAATTGGTCATTCTTAGATCAGAAATAAAGGACAGTTCTAACCATTCTAAAAATGTAAAGGATAGTTCTTACCAATAGCTCTGAAATAAATGTAAGAGATAGTTTTTGCCACTATAAATAATGTTATAAAGGATAGTTCTAAAATAAATTAATGTACAAGAATGAAGAAAATTCTTTAACTTTTTTTTAAATTTGTAAATGATTCCAAAATTAAAAAAAAAGTCGAACGAAAAACAAGTTAAAGAGACACCTTATACTATGAAAAATCATAATATAAATATGCTATTAATTTAATTTCGATAGTTACAAAATGGGCATTTTCTTAGCTACAAGAAATAATTATTTCGTAATTGTTATGCAAGCACTGCTAACATTTCTTTTTGTAATGAAATCTTAGAAATAAGATACTTTTATGGAGGCTATTCGTTGCCAAAAATCCAGCCTTGTTGATCGGAGTTAAACAGTTTATTTACGAACAAAATACAATTGTATTTCTTTGTATGTTAAATTCCAATTTGCATTTCCTGTATTTGAGTTTGCCCGATGTACATTGGTTACCAATTTATTTCAACAAATACATTTTTTAAACGCAGACATTAGACTTGTTCATGTCAGTCAATAACAAGTGCTTTATTCATTAACATGCGAAATACTCATTTGCTGGTATTACGTCCGGAGCAAAAACAATAGTACTTCTAGCTTAACATATCATACCATCAATCGGCAATCCAGCTACACGTTCAAAGATAAATATCAGCCGCCATTCCCGCCCCCTACATCATCGTAAATAAACGTATTTATCCGCTTATTTTCTGTATTTAGCGCCAGCGACAAGAAAAAAAAACGCAACGGCCTAGTTACTGTTTAACCAAACATTATTCACTTGTATAATTGCCATCCTATACGTTTATTCAATCAACATCAGCGGACTTTAAATGATTATAGGCATGTAAGTTTTGAAACGTTGTAGAAACCACATTTCCTAGAAAAAAAGAAACCCTCACCAGGTTACTTACTGTCTGAGGTTGAATATTTTTCAGGGAAGTAAAAATTATTGATAAGATTATATTCAACGACAAATAAATATTACTAAGGGGATTCCAATTTGCATAGGAATGAGTAACATTGACAGTTAAGCTGCAACTTACTACTTTCAAATTAACAAGTCAACATCTGATGGAGATTTTGATACGACTAAATACTAATGCAGACCAAATTCTGGCTCTTGTCTTTCCTTGAAGTAGCATTTACTATTATATTTGTAACTTTAATTCTAGCGTATGTCTTGACAAGAAAAAACTTTTTAACAATAGTAAAATTAAAAGCAAAGTTGTATGTACCCTTTCGTACATAACCTTTTTATTTTTACAATACTGTATATATATACTTTCCCATTTTTACCATTTTTTTGCCAATAATAATATTTAAATGAGTCCAAAGGTATGTATGTTGATTATCAATTGATGTATACCTTGTTTATTTTATCTCTAAGAAAGCCATCACTAACAAAACTTAAAGAAATATTCTGTGTAGTATTTCATGTACATAAAAAAAGTTCAGACAGACAGGAAGTCTAGGTAACAGCTATTGCAGCATGTACCTGTATACACAGATTAAAGAGCTGTCATTTATTCAGTACAGTGCATAAAAAGCCCTTAACCTACGTCAGCTTACATATATTTAATAATATAAGGCTAAATCACATCATATGACTCATAATACCTCCCAATGGAGGGAAGCAGAGATGCTAGGATACACTGAATATTTAATTCAACATTAAAATGGGACAAATTCACAAGCTTTTGGTTAGAATTATCGATAGTAAGCTCGAATGGTTCCATGGTTATACACTTAGTCAAAAAGTTGGATTTTTCTTCAACCCAATATAGTCCCTTTAAGGGAGAAGTTCAGCTCTCTTTATTCGTGTTGCCAAAGTGACTTTCCTGTAACGCATTTTTTGTACTGTTTGCTGCATGTAAAAGATAAGCGTACGAAAACTACCAAAGCGTACGAAAACTACCGTAGTACACTACCCCAGTCGACGATAATAAGAGTGGTTTGTGTCGTTATATATGAGAAACATTCTCTTATGTTAATTCACAAACTTTAGTTTTTGCATATTATTATGCTCATTATCAGTATAAACGTTGTTACATACATTATTTTTTAACCAATTTTGTATAATTTAAATATCCTGTACTAGAATACGTTTTAACAAAATTAGAGGACATTCAAAGTCAAATGTAATGCAGTTGATGTATGTGAAATTTATAACAGTTGTATATAATTTGAAATATTTTTGTATCAGCAAGAGTTACCTCCCTTTATATTCTGCTTTCGTGAAAATTGGCTCCGCCTATTCATTTTTGTCTATTTCCGTGATAGTTTCATATATGGAAGTGTGCAAAATCGTTTACAAATGTAAATCGCGTTAGACTGTAAAGGGAAAGTGTGGTGTTGTCAACCTGAGAGTGTCAACAGATGCCGTAAAGCTGCACAGCATTAACCGTGCTGTGTACGTTCTATCGTTTACATTTCTACATGTCGCAAATTTAAAGTTATACATTTCTAAATACAGTTTGCAATTTATCTAAGGTGCTTATTAACAGCCTCCATTTTATCAAATCGAGAAAGTCAAAACGCTCAATATCAGTGCAGTATGGAACTCTCGGATCGACAATTAGATTTTTACTAATCTGTTAAATAGAACGATGTATGCATTATAAAGTATTAAAGGCTGGAATTTTGGCAACGAATAGCCTCCATATGATTATGCATGCTAACCAGTTTTACATTGGTCGAGTTTCATTTTTAAAGATACTTCTTGTTTTATTATTGTTATTTTAAATTTTTTACTCAATGAAATTTTAACAGGATAGTCGGAATTCGTCTCGCATGCACATAATGAAACCTGCGCATAGTATCCGAAGCAATGCCATAGCTATATTCAAACGTTTGCGCAGTTATAAATATTCAACACTCTTTGAAAATATATTGTTTTTCAAATTTAAACTTGTTTAGTTTAGTTGAAAAAAGTACATAAGCTGCCTACATATTGATATATTTTAAATAAATCTTTTAAATAAATATAACAAACAAGTGAGTATGCTAAATTAAAAAAAATGTTGAACATTATTTTTGTTCTATTCAAGTTTGCCGTTCATTTGTTCATTTGTGACCATATATTTTGTAAACTTGGCGGTGTGTTTCATGAGTTGCAATTTTTTCCTTTGGTTTCATAGGTTTCCAAAGCTTTGAATATGTTCTGTTAAATACGTATGCATACTTCATATCATAGTTAACAAAGAATGTACATATGAAATAAATAAGTGAACATATACTAATATGTACTGTAGTTAAATATTGAATGACTTGTAGCGCAGGGATTGGTCGTACTGGAACATTGATAGCTTTTGACAGGCTAGTTGAAGAAGGACAGGATAAACACGATGTGAACATATTTGAATGTGTCAAAAGTATGAGAAAGCAAAGAGTAAAAATGGTGCAAACACTAGTAAGCAATTTAACATGCCACTTGTTAGGTATCACTTTATATTATAACTAACTGAAAATCTGAAAAACTTATAGATTGTTTTCCATCACTGTTGTAATTCTGGATTTTCATACGTGAAACAGATTATAAGATCACTTGAATATCTTTATTTAAGTTTTGCCCTACGAACTTTATAAAAGATATGAAAATTTCAGTAAAATCATTACAATGGGTCGCATTATGACTATAAATGTTTTCAACAATGGCGTTTGCGTCGAACTGACCTTATTCTACTGATATTGTGATATTTAATATTTCGATATCGAAATACAAATACATATCCATTAACAAAGTCTGTAAAAATATTTTTGATATTGTTTATTCATGTGTTTAATCCATATTTAAACAATATACTATGAACTAAACACCCGTAATTAAAATCAACTAAATATTATATGAATATTAATTACAATTTCAGGAGCAATATATTTACATCTATAAAGCTTTGGTGGGCACTCTTTGTTTTGAGAGTAGTTATATGACTGTAAAGGACTTGCGTAGCTTGGTAGGAACTCCAAAACACATGTACAGTAAGGAGTACCAGGTAGATTTTATATATTTACAACACAGTATCTTTTACAACAAGTCTTACAATTTTTTCACTTGCATTTGAAGCAGTTTTATTTTGCATTCATTTAATAGTTCAAAATAGCTCGATTGTCTTAAGACAGTAACATGCACACAACAACAAAAACGCGAATCATAAGCAGACTGTTAGACATTGTGTTTAAAATACCTCAACTTTATAACGTATTTTCCGTCTTATGAGTGACTACTATTGCCTATATACTTTCAACGCTAAATAACAAAGTAAAATCCTAGCTATAAGCATTTTTCAATAGACGTACTCTGTTTCTATATTATTAATAAACTTTAAATAATTTTGCAGATTTGTAAAATTACATTGTTTTAAGTCTAAACTATATAAGTAAATAACGTATTTGAGATCAAACTAGAAGTAAACAAGCTTCATAAATTTTCCGTACGTTAATATAGTACAACTAAACTATAAATATTAAATGAATTAAACACAAAATACGAACTACACTTTTTAACCATTTTGGTGCTGTATTTAAGCAACTAAAACAAACTGTAGATACCGTAAAGAGAGATGAAAAGGACGCTCTAAAGAGCAACGAAAATCAGACGTCTAAAAATCGACCAGGAGCCGATATACCTGGTATTATATAAATGTTACTTTACTTGAAGCAATTAAAAAATCAAGTAATTCTTATAATGAATCAGTGATTCAGCAGGACGATATATTATAAGCTCCCTGTTTTATGAGTTAAAAAAAGGAAAAAAGTAAATATGATTAAAATATCAGATTATTACACCAGCAAATTTAATAATAAAACTTGGGAACTTAATTGGATTATGCAAAATATTGTAATTTTATGACAAGGCCATGTTTGTGTTTGTTCTCTCTAATATTATATTGATAATTTTCAGGGAATCGTTTTCGTGTATTCCTGAATCTTAACAGAGAGCATGAAGATTCCGATTATATAAATGCTGTTTATATAAACGTATGTTTTATATTTTGATGTCAAATAATTATCGGTAATAGTTTTCAAAGTTCTGGCATTAAAACCTACGCATTATCATTTTAAGATATCTCGACATTTCATGTAATGCTTTATGTACAGAAAACATTGTTTAAGACCGATTGCCAAAGTAAATAATTGATGATCATGCCTAACCAACATGAAAGTTTAAAGTAATTGTAATTGTCATCTTTTTTTAATTAAATAACTTGTTTATCAGGCAGATTATGTAAGTGGGGCCTTATGGCAATTTTTTGTATGGCTGCGAACAGATGACCTGAGGTGTCCCTCTTGCTGTATATAGCACGAGCGGACACCTGACTTATCAGGTTATCTGGATAGCTTCTTCAAATTAGAGTCCCCGCGTGGGATTCAATCAGAGGTCAGTAACAAATATTCTTAGTCAAACGCCAAGTAAATTCCGTACTTATAGGTAGATAGATAAAAATAATTATCAAAATGTTGCATGAATTAAAGAAAACAAGAGAATAAATAAACGGTAACGATTTTCAGATTTTTTATTGTTGTTGCAGAGCTTTGTAAAGAAGGAATTCTTTATCGTAGCGCAAACGCCGCTGCCTGGTGCCACTGAAGACTTTATCTGTCTGATTTATCAGGAGGATTGCACGTGCGTTGTTAGCATGATGGACCAGAAAGACTCATATCAGGCAAGTGCTAGTTGTTTTTGTTAAGCTTGTCCAGAATATTCATAACTAAATAATATATGAAGTGTTACAAATAAAAGAATAAAAAAGATTTTATCAAATAAACGTGATGATAATTAGCAAAAACATTTTGACATGTTCGATATAAATCATACACATGCATGCGCGTCGTTTATGTTCAGGTTTGTTTTTGAAAAGAGTGACAAATTTGTCTGTCTTTTAATCACCATGCAAAGATTAGTAGCAATCATGGCACGTTGAAATATTCTAAAAAATGAAAATACTCTTTTTTAGAAAATTGGAAAGTATTTGCCTGATGGTGACAAGATCTTGAAGATAGGAAATTTTAAAGTTTCTTGTTCAGTACTGGAAACAAAACATCACTACACGCTAAAGAAAATGAAAATATGTTATGAAGGGAGGGTAAGCATTGAAACAAATATTGTAAATATCAAAACTTGTTAAATAGCAACTAATGTTTTACATAATGATGTAAAATGAAAAAGGTTTTGTTCTAATACAAACAATATGTTTAAGATTGATATAATAAATTATTTCTGAAGTATCAAATAATTGTCAATGAATAATCGTTGCCATCAGAAACACCCATACTATTATTAAAACAGTTTTAAACTATTATATACTGTATTTTTAAGTATGAGAGGGGCGTAAAGATTGTCTACCATTTTCAATACACGCAGTGGCTTGCAGAAATGGAAATTCCGGACAACAACGTTGATTTTGTACAATTTGTGAAGGATGTACACCAATATGCCTGTGAACTTGGCGATGAAAGATCCCATGTTCTTGCACATTGTTTGTAAGTATTTAACCGTTCAATAAAGATAAATGCTTTTGTTAAAATTATCCATTATTTAGCTACAACTTTTAAAAGTATTTCGCAAAAGAACAAATTCACCCAGATCCTTGATAAGAGGAACTCATATGCTGTCATTTTAATGTCTAAAAGTAGATTAATTATAAAGTGTAACAGTTATTTTATTTAAAACATCATTGGGCAATTTATGAAAACGCTTTATCATGAAATTGTCATTTCAAACTGTGAAAAGGTGCTAAAATCAATTTAAAGTTTCAAAAATATTTATGCAGAAAATAAGTATGTTGCTCAAGGTATGTTAAAGAAAAAACAATTTAGTAAAATATGTTATGGGAGTTTGATGGAAATATCATTGTACACATCGAGTAAGAAATCAGCCACAAAAAGAAAAAGGCGTCAAAGATGTTCTTATGTTATTAGAAATACATGTAGTTTAAGATAAACGTTGGATCTTACACATTATGTCTGTACAACAATCATTTCTGTTAAATTTAAAAGAAACATAAACAGGCGATAACAGTGTATACTCTACTCCAGCAAAAATTACAACACTTGCTTTGACTTTTCATAATTTGTTACCGTTTGTTTTAATAAACACTTATCACAAAGCTTTGAATGTAAATCGGTCGGAATAGTAACAATGCTCAATTGACTTTGTTTATTTATATGTCACTTTATCAGGAAAGCGAATGAGAGAAGTGGTTTGTTTTGTACAGTACTAATTATTTTGGAAAAACTGGATAAGGAGAATCAAGTGAATATTTCAAACACGATTCGTCATTTGCGTACAAGGAGACGGTCTGCAATTACAAGCATGGTTTGTCATTAATGAAAATGTGTTTTCTATCTAAAATTAACCAGTACAATTTCACATTTTATTTTCTGATAAATTTTAATGAGTTATTTGCAAACTATTATACAAATTGAAATCATTATAATCATGTTTTAAACAAAGCAATGTAGTAAATCTTATACAATGTAAGTTTTTTATCAATTTACCCAAGCTTCGTTTGCTGAGACCATGTAGAACTTCTGTAATTTTTGTTTACAATTTTCTTCAAGCTCGCCGTATATAAAACAACTTTGCAATAGCATTGTTATAAAAATTGTTTAAGTTGCCTTTGATGTTGGTATTTAGTGATAAATAAAGCTTTCCCTGATGAAATAACCATTATTAAATCAATGTTATTCGAGATCTTCTATTGCTTTCTAATTCTGCAGTTATCATTAAAATATCGTTTTGAAATTTCAGGAACAACTTCAGTTTTGTTATCAAGCAGCAAGTGTTTACGCAAAACAGTTGAAAAATTAAGAGTCTAGAAAAGGATTCGAAGAAAAACAATGACTTGCTTTTATGTCTCATAATGTGTTGTTTTTATTTTCTCTCATGTGCGGTGGATGAGAGAGAAAGAGAAAGGGGGGATAGTATGTTATGCTAAATATATGACTTTTTTATTGTATATATGCTTATTTATTTAATATGTTCTAATTCAAAGCTAATTCGTTTATTTTTATTTTGAAAAATGTAATATGTAAAGGAATATTTAAACCGATTTTTATTTTCATAAGTCGAACAATTTGCATCATGCATCAACATGACAATTTTGTTGCGTGAGTGTAGCGCATTTTCTTAATGTTGTGAAAATAGCCTCCTACAAATGTTGCTTATTTCTGGACGAAAACTTTCGCAAAGTAACATAATGCGCGTGAAAATTGAATTAACTTTAAAATATACATATATATCTCTATTTTATTTGCTCACATTGGTTTGCATATTTGCGTGTTGATTTTGAAACAGAACAAATGCGTGTTGTTTTTTATTGCAACTGCTCCACTTTCTTCGATGGAACTGCGAGAAGCAAGCGTCGAGTATAAAAATTGAATTAAGTTTATTTTTTGTTTTATTTTAGAAACATGATCTGTGTTTGTATATATAATATAAACCTTAAAATGTACAGCAACTTCGTGAGCTTGTTGTTAATTTTTTTCTATAACAATCTTTATAGTTTTTGTTTTAGTAATTTACTATTTATTAGTGAATAATTGCTTACACAAACTGAATATTGCTGATAATCACAAAATGTTTTTTTCCAAGAAATACGATACATTCTCAGCCAAATATCGGTAATAATATTTTTCTTGAGTGTATGTATCATGACCAAAATGCTATTTTTGGATTTAATGTATGCATACGTTAAAGTAAGAGGTTACAAAATTCGAATTATGATTTTGAAAAAAAAATAATTAAAAAATTCCTGTATGAAAGGGACATGTTTGTATATTTCTTTTTAGCGAATGACGCGTGCACCAAATCATTGCTAAACGGTACAAATCCTATTTAAAATAGCAGCATGCTTTTTCGTTCCTGAACATTTTATCATGTTAAATCACAATTGTTATGTGTGTTAAATAACAAAAAATATTTCATGTTACAACTCTTTCAAGAAATAAGCATAACATTATTGAAACGATATAGTTTTGCTTTTATTTAGATAGTACAAAAATATCCCATTTGATATACTTTTATCCCCTTCAAGTGTTCAAAATATAAGTATTGAAAGTGAAGGAAGACTTGCAGATTGAATGGTTATGTTCCTTAACGACTAGTTTATGATGAGTTTGATACATTTTAAATATTTTTTAATTGACAATTTCTTTTTCGGTAACTGTAATTCCTTTTCACTTTGTCCGCACCATTTGTGTATTAATATGTAAATAGGCAATAATAATGGATCTCCCATGAGCAACTGTCTTATATTCTTAATGACACTCTCTTTGTTTGTGCTATTTTGTTATATATGAATTTAAAAATACTGCGTTTTTTATGTTCTCATGTATTTTATGTCTGCTTGCAAATTGTTCTTAATGAGATGGCAACAATGGAATATGCATACGACGGCTGTCCCAAAATTGTGTGACAAGTTTTTATTTAAGCTGGAATAAATTAGTTAGAATCATAGATATTACTAAATGATAAACACATACAAATACAGCACTTTTATGAAAGGGACAACACTGAGATTTTTTAACATGACGGGACTGGATATAGTTTTTGTTTACAAAAATTAAAATTGTCACAAAATATTGGGACAGCCGTCGTATAATATCATTGAAAGAGATACTGACTAAACAGATATAAACAAATAAATATTTTAAAGGAAAATGCAAGCTTGTTTTTCACATTGATATTCAGAGACACTAGTTGTTTTTTCCGTTTTCTTTGACTTAAATAATTAGAAAACGTTTTGATAAATTTACACTTTTCTGTTTTATTGAAATCCGCGTCTGACCTTAACAGAATATGACTGGTGAATTATTTCAATGATTTTGTTTTTAAAAAGAGAAGTTCCACGTAAACAATAAAAAAAGGATGAAAACTGCAGACTCATTGTGGGAAAACTATGAAAAGAAAATTCAACTCTATTTCGTTTGCTTTACTTCCAATTTAAATGTTATATGTTGACTTTCTAGCATAACTGGTTCGAGATTGTGTTTCAAGCTATAAGCTATAAGCTGATCCATTCCTGGAATTAACCAGTACTAAGCAATGAGAGTGAAGTTTATTGCCAATGGATATAGGCTTCAAGCCCTACAGAGATTACAACCATGTGTCTTTTTACGCTTGTGCTTATCAGATCCAGAATAATGTGATGCAATAAATGTATTCAAGTGTATATGATTAACGAACCAGCATAAAAAAGGAACGCATATTCGTTTGATCATAAAAAGCTTAGCGTATGTGTGGTCACTTGTGATGCTCCTTAGCATTAATGTGCTTGTTAGAAATAACTCAAATATGGAATTCTAATGTAATGGCTATTGAAGACAAAAAAATAGTAAAAAGACACATGATTGAAATTACGTAAGATGTTTTGGATGTAAGATGTGTATGGTTAATGAACACTTTTATTGAATGGATGAAAAGGGTATCTTTAAAATAGCCAGCTGGTGGCGCTCAATCAGTCATAACCAAAGGTGAGAAATCTATTGTTTCCTGTTACACATACACAGTATGTTTTATATTTAACTTTCTTCATGTAAAACATTTCTAACTCAAGGAAACCGACATTCATATAAGGACCTCATACTGATTACCGGTACAAAACATAATATGTAGCTCGTGGGTAACTGTTTACGGCGGTAACGAGGCTGAACCGTGTTTCCACTAGACAGTTACCTGAGAGCTAGATATTCCCGTGTGTGACGACGGCCGCTGTTTTATACTTTTTCTTGAATATTAAATATTAAACATATTTCGGAAAGAAATTACGAAAAAAAATATTTTCATTTAACACCTTTTTCCTATAGTAGCGAATGAATTGACAACTTTCGTATCCTCGCAGTCTGACGTTGACAACTTGGCAACCTCAAACCATATTAAAAACATACTAAATTCCTAGCTCTTATTTACTAGCCGTTCATGAAATAAACATAGTTTAGGATGTAAAAGCTTGACGACGCCCTTTCGTTATTGGGTATATGTTTTTCTTGATGAAGACGACAAAAATTGCCATGAATTCAGTAAGACTTTGAAACTTATATATACGAATAACAAGGTATTTTTGCGCAGGAAAAGCCCTTCTTCCAAGTAAATATATCTCTAGCAAATTTTTCACATGACATATTCAATATAGATATTAAAATTGGAGAAAGATTGTATATTGAAAATCTGTATTCGCGTTTAGATATATAAATAAAAACCAAACACTGAAATCATTTAGGACCTGATTATACTATTTCATTAAATCTTTAAAGATTTTGAAGAAAGAGAAAATTTGAAAGGGCTGAATCAAGATTATAAGGTGCTACTTCGCCAACTGCCCACATCTATGAAAAGGGAGAAAACTAAGTCAAATAGAGCAAACTATATTTCAAAAGATTAATCTTCTCATGATATTAGTCAAAATAATACGAATTAATCCGACAAGTTACTTATATGTACGTTCAGTTATAATGTAAAGAAACCAGTTTTATCTAATCAATTGAAAAGTATTGCAGCATTTCTCAATTAAAAAATTTAATATCATTCTTTTCATAGAGTACAATTAACTCTAAGAATTAATATTTTACAGAGCATATACTTTTTACTTACAATCTTGATTGTATGTTTTAATATTTTGAATTCGAAGTTATATAATAGATGAATGTTTTCTGTAGGAATTCAACTAAAAGTGTTTTGAATGCTTGTTTTTTGCGATGAAACTGTTAACAAAATTATATATATTGCACTAATTTAATAGCATGTGTGCGATACAGTGCTTGTAAAATAAAAAAGACACGGACAATTTTAAAACATAAAGGGAACTTTACTTGGTTTTGTTGACATTAGGAGACCAACAGTATTATTTTTCGGAAATAGATATATAGTTCTCTAGTACCAATCAGTGAAGAAGACAATAAAAATGTCATCGTTAAATTGAGAGACATGATAACAAACACTATATTCTACGAATGTTGAGCCAGTTCTGAAACCATCATTTTAGTGATGGTGGGTTTGCAGTGACAATGCTTTCATGACTGGTCTGCTAGGCGCTGTGCCGTTATTGGACTGGCGGTATGTGTGTATTTATTCTCTCAATTCTATATATATACGTATTTGCATATTTTTTCATTTTAAGTGTACCAAATGATTTATGAAAAAATCCGAATTTATTATTTTAGGCTACAGACCTTCTAACAGTGCGATATTTCCTTAAAAATTGAAGTAACATTTCGCGCACGCAAAATAAAAAACAACAAACTTTGTATACAAGCAGTAGACTGAATTAAATTTACCATCTTTTGTATCTAAATTTGCTTTTTATGCGTAACAAAGATACAACAAAACTCGTTGATTGTGTACGAAGGTGGGCTATATTCATAGACCTAGATACGCGAATGCCGCGAATGCTTAGCTAACTTAAAGTTTTTATTACACATAATAATAGAAAATATTCGGGATTTTATTAAAACCAACTTAAGAATGATTCAAATACAACTGTTGAAAGACGCCTTTTTAAAGTGTTCTAGAAAAAAAAATATTCCCCGTGAATTATGTAGTATTATATACTTGGTACTTTAATATTGATAGTTAAACTGGTAAGTGTCAATTATATTGGCATGTGACCGGCTGTTTTTGCAACTAAAATATACTATATCACTCAGTCGGAATAATAACGCAAATTATGGAAATAAGAATTTAAATATTTATAAAAATATGTTTAGTGATTTAGCGTGCATTTATCAAGATTTTTCTCGGAATGTGTATTAAATCGTTTTTTCCCCACTAGCATTAAATGTAACTGCTCAAGATACTGATTAAATGTAACTGCTCAAGATACTATGTAACTGATTTATCTTAGGCAGGACAGTCAAATCATATATGGGGTAAAACGCTAATTAATAAAAATGCATGATTTTTGAGTCGAACTTAAACCTGAAAGAAAATATTTCTCCTATCCACATGTTTTAATTCAACGTTTTTTTGTTGTTGTTTTTTTTTGCTGCGTTTTTGATAAAAAATATTTTCTTACATAAAATTGTGTACTGTCAACATTCGCACCATTTTCTATGAACGTAAACGCATTTATGCGTGATGTTTCTGATCTGGGAAGATTGCGCATGCGCTAGAAAATACTTTTCCAGTCAGTTTTGCATAGCAACGGACTCCGTTATAATAATTTTGTCATATCCCCATTTTATTTGTTCGCGCAGTTGAGACTAAGCGTTGTAGGCCAAGTAGCAAATGGGCTCCTAATATGTCTAGAGAAAATGCTTTACATAATATTTGCTATATATCGTTTCAGCAATTTTAAGTGTTGCTTACTTCCTCACCTTCATTTTCTTTCTTTTATTCTTGAAGCAACACGCATAGGAAAAATAAATAACCTTTACTATAGTAAATAGAAAAAAGAACCCCAAAAGAACGCCTTAAACGGACAAGTTAAGAATGTTGTTGAAGGTTCTGTTTAATTGAGCCTGCAAGGCACCATCCAGACCCCGAGCGCCAGCTTAAGCAGTATTAATCATAAACACAATTGCATTTCTTTGAGTTTTTCTTACAAACGTAAATGTGTTCCTACGTTTGTTATCATGAATCTTCGATGTGAAAAGTCCGTGACTTGAAAAATAAATAAATCTTCAATATGTATGAATTCACTTTACACGTGGAGTCTTCCCATTTGTTATATGTTTTATAGAACTGTGTTCAATGTTAAGTCGCTAACACTCCGATTGAGTTTATTGGTTCAATCTTTTCTGTGATCAATAAATTAACAGTACATCATATCTAATAACGCTTTCATTGATACCTATCATAAATTTGGACGATATTCTGGTTGGTTTTATTTCTTAACATATACAAATATTCGCTACGTTCGACTTGTTTACAATTGATTTATTTTTAAACTGTTGTCTAACTTTTTAGTCGACGCATTCTAAGTGAAGTATCTACACGCGT